CGAAGTATGGTCCGGGGAATGGAACTCTGCAGGGGGGCGCTAGGATCCATGCTCTGACAAATAGATTTGAGTCAATGGAAGACCACTCAAGTCCCGGGTGCAATCTGACAGAAAATGTCCGTCGATGCGGGATGCCCCTTGACGCCGATTCGCGCTGGTGTTTGGATGAGATAAGCGTCCGAATATGTACTGGGATTACATTTCCCTTGTGCAAGTTTGTCCTCCGGGTGATGGGGATCTCTCTGAGCGGGCCCCGCTCCAGCCCGGTGCGAATATCAGTTATACCCCGGTCACGGCATGGTGTCTTCTGCGCCAAACAACGTCAAGCCCCCTCAGCCCTCAATGGGATCGCCGGCTGCCGAATTGCGAGGGTACTTTTAGCAGGATCGAGTTCTGCAACTATAGCCGTGGTGTGGTACGCAGCCGCGCTGCAGAATCATTACGTAATAATCGACGATCTCGGAAATGAGAACTCTTTCGAAGAGATAGAAGATCGAAGGATTTTCGACTTCAGCTTCTAGATGGGGAAATCTACGGAAACTTCCTATGATCTTTGTCTGCTTCGCAGCAAAGTGCTCGAAACGCCATCATAGCTTCTGCACCCGAATATTAACGGCCCGCGAGATTTCGGTGAGCCGACGAGTATTTGGGAATTCGAATCAGAAACAAAGCGACCCGACGGATCGGGGTTTGGATACCGGGACTCGAGGTCGAGCGATTCTCTGGAAAGAAATCCTGTCGCATCATCCGTCCGTCGTTTGCGACGGCATCAGGGCCGTGAGAAACGCACTCGATATACCCTTACTAGAACTCCGTCTTGATCTGTCGATATGACTCCATACAATATTTTCACTTCTGCTTAGAAACAGAGCGATACAGAAGATTTATTCTCGGACGATCGGAGCAGATCAACCTGTTCCCATGCTCCCCCTTCGTAATGGCATCAATGAAAGCAAACGTTTGCCTTCTAAACGACCGGAACGAAAGACTCGTTGATGGCGGAGCAATGCTGAATCGAGCTCTTCCGTCGCAGCCTCTCCGTCTCGATTCTCTCTGACAGGAGTTTCGCATGGATCGCGACCGGGGTCTCGGTTTCATTCAAGAGAGCAACTCCCACGATCCGCAATCACCCTTCTTCTCTCCCGACTTTGTGTCACGGAATTCCCACCGGTGTCCATTATTCTCTGCTTAGGCTCCCGTTTCACAGTTTCTAGTTCTCGACTCCTAACACGTCCATTCGGCGTCGCGACTCAGTTGGCTCGTGCAGCTTTCTTGCATTGTCAGAGGCAATGAGCTGGATTTTGGTCGAATTCCCCGAAACCCCTGAGTGAGATACGGAAGAAGATGCGAAGAGAAGTGAAGTTTGATAGTCTAGTTTCCTCCCCTCATGTCGATGTTTGCGACAACTTCGTATTTGTACGACCTTGAGACGTCCTCAAATTCTCGAAACGGTCTGCCTGAGAGCCGCCTTCTTCGATTTGACCTGAGCAGTCGTTCTTATCAACGCAATTAGATGAATCACCACCCAACCGAATCCAATAAAGCACTCGTCCCTATGATCGGACGTCTGCGACAGTCGATGCTCGTGCTTGAACTCGCCCTCTCATTTATTCGCTCTCGTTTGCCGCTCGAACCGTAGGGAACAGTGACAGCTTCGCAAATCGATCGCTCGGGTTCCATGCCGGACACCCGGGCTGTTCCAAGGGTATGAAAAGTCGATGAATTGAATCATCCCCCACACCAACTTTTGAAACCGAGAAAATATCGCCTCAATATTTTGTCCGAGAAAAAATAGCGTCGATCATCCCTTCTCACATCCGTACTTCTCTGAGCGCGAACTCGGGCGGAAAGCCTACTAGTTACCACCGCCTGACGGGGGCCGGATCGATCTATCCACCTCGTTTGGTGATTCTCTCGTGTAAGCCTCGAAACGTCTGATAGCCCCAAAAAAATCATGATCAATCTATGTAAATGCAGTCTGCGAGGATCGAGCGTGGCCTCTCCACGCGAATCCCAGAAGAATGCAATAGGCGAGCAGCAAGTCTCCGTAGAATTACGAGGAGGTATGCGTGAAGCTCATAAATCTATCGGAATCTTCAGGAACATTTATCTATCTCCGAGAGAATCCCTCGTACGAGGAGTCACATGATTCAGATTCCTCGAAGGGGCGTAACGGAAGCAGAATCGTTCCCATCTCAATGAAAGATAGCCTGCTGTGGGTTCGACTATCATCTGTTCTTAGCGAAATGACAAAGCGCATACGACGCTTACGCGTCTTTCCCCACCGTGCAAGCTCGCACAAGTGCAAGCAAGTCTGCAAGTCTGCGTGCAAGTCTGCTGCGCGGCCCGGGCTCCAATGAGAGAAGACACTGCTTGAGGGGTACGTGGATCCTGTGTTCGGTTGAACAATGAAATCGAGCTTCCGGTAAAATAATCGTTAGAGCAGATGTAAAACGAATTTCGGAGAAAAAAACGACGGTTCCGGGGTCCGAGGACCCCTCCCTCGACGGAGTCCTTTACGATGAGTGTAACAAGTTCGTAATTGGCGGATCGCTCTATTTCGGGAAGTCAGGATGGAATGGGATCGTAATAGCTAAACGGAGTCAGGGTGATCCATATCTGGACCGACAGCACTGAGAGCATCACTGGGATATGAAACTTTCTGTTGCTTGTCCCGTCTATCCGATTGCCATTCGAGAGGAATCCCGAGTAAACAGAAACAATAATCAGAAAGATGGTACCGACTCCGCTACTTTTTTGTTTACTTGACGGACGTTCATCCGTGGATAGATGGTTTACATGTTGAGTAGTCAATCGCGAGGGGCGCGCGCCTGTGATACGATTTCGACGAGAGCATCCAATAGGATTAACGCTTGACCTCACTAAGGAGGTGAACAAGCGCTCAGATGAACAGGGGGCTCAAATTCACGTGCTGCTAATGTTGGCGATACAGCCGTCTCGAGGACAAGTGTTCACGAACTCTTCCTCGTCGGTCTTTCTAGTTCCCGGACCGAAGTACGAGCTGGAGCAATGTTCCAAATCCGGGTGCCTCGCTTCCGATTGAGGCTCGCTGTCGAGCTCATGATGCTGATCATTCCCATGATATCAGCCACCTATCATCTGATGCGACGCTCGATGGACGCAGCGGCAAATATTCGCCTCGGTGTAATTGTTGTTCGCTCAAAAGTCGAAAGATAATTCGATTTTTTCCCATCCGCAATCGAGCGGCTCATCAGATAGACGAATACTCACGTAACTTACGCTTGGCCAGCGTTTCTCGCCGCTTACGGCCCAGACCGAGCTGCCGCCACCCAAAAAGTTAAGAGCGAAGATCTTAACCGTGCTATCTGCGGGAATTCTCCCGGTTTGCCTTCCGCAGTGGCGTTTAAGTGCTGGGAGCTTCAACCACTACTTATGGATGGAGGTGTGTAAAAGTGAGTGTGTTGTGATTTCGTATATGAGCCTCGGTGTGAGAGTCGTTCGGTAGCTTCGCTGTCTTTCGCTCGGCCGGCCGACTGCTCACTTGTAGAAGTAGCTACGATCGCTCACCCAGAACTCACACGTAGCTATGTCGGCCGCCAGAAGAGAAAAAACTTCTTCCCCCTCATAAGTTTGTTGTTCATTCTGCTCAAACTGCGCTAACATTAGTTCAGATCGCGGAAGGCGTTGGCGGAGTCTACATCTCCCAGAGCGGCTTTGCGATCGTACTGGAGCAGCAACCAGAGCGAGAGATCGGCGAAGGCGAAGGACATTCGCAAACAGCTGAGTTGTATACCGTACTCGCTCTCCGCTGATCTCCACGCAGATCTTTGCGAAAGCAATCTCGTTTTGAAGGGACTCCCAGGTGTCGAGTGAGAAACAAGTGACCAACTAAGCGCCAACGATGAGATTCGTCGTGATGAGCCCATTCACGGACGTCCCCCCTGGGTAGGCCATTTCATTTTTTTGGAGGAGTAACGGTAATTTTCTGAGACGTCGTCCCTGAGAAAAAAAACGCATTCTCTGGATGTCTCCCGGGTTGAAACACGGTGACTGAATCAGTTACATGTGGGAATTTAAATTACGAGAAAAGATTCCGAGCTAAGTAGACTGAAGCAGAAATGCCGTTTATTTATTTCACTCAAGCTCCGATTCAGTGGATTCACTTATAATTCCGCTTGATGAATTGTTTCGAGTACCCTTCCCCTTTCCTGTGCCCCCTCACAGTCCCCGTAGAGAGTGAACGTGTCTCTAAGCTGATCGTCCTCGCAGTGTTTGATTGACGGCGACAAACAGCCTTACCGGAAGCAGCGAAGAGTATCTTTCTCCGTGGGTATCAATGCTATAAATTCGCCGTGGCAACCTGTTCTCTCGCCCTGGAAGGCCATGCTCGGGGGCATTATCCGAATTCTTCAATCTCAAGACGGTACCGCGGGCACGAGTTCACCAAACATAGTCTTCAAAATTAGAACGAAACGAGTCCATCGGAGTCCGACCGAGTCATCGTGCCCGCCTAGAATTTCCGAAATCCTCAACACCACATTGGAAATCGATACTAGCTTCGGTCTCAGAAGCTTCCTCGGTGCTCGCAAAAATAGCTCTCCAGAACAGACACTCGACGTTACCTCCAACGGAACGCGGATCCGGTATAAGGAGTAATTTCTGGCAGCCCTTCCGCCCAGAGTCTCGCAGGGTCAGAGCTGAATGTCTTCCATTATAACAAAATTCCATTCCAACGAGCGGAATTTCGGTCCCCGAGCGCTTCGTGTTGAGGGGACTCACTGTGAGTCTGAAAGTCCCTGATCCGTCGTTTCGAAGAGTCAGCGTCGCGCCACCGGCACCGGCGTCCCTGCGTTGCCCGCGTGGACCGCTAGTAGCCCGTTCCTATGGATGGTGGGTTGGTTTGTTGCTCCGCCAGCCGCTTGCCGGCTTGCCAGACTGGGGTGGGAAGTGAGTTGTCTCCTCGCCGCTTGACGAACGGCTAGTTGTCCCCCTTGCCGCCATCCATCGAGTGGCGAACTGTCAGTTGAAAGAAAACTTAGAAGTGAACGACGAATAGTCGACGTCAGCGACAGCATAATATTCAAACGTGCCATATTAACTAACTTGCGGATACGATGGTGCTACACTTCGATCGCGATGTGCTCCTGGAAAACCACAGACGGAGTCGGTGGGTAAACTTCCCTCGAGAATAGCTTCGGTGTTCCCAAAAATTCAGCCGGACCGAGTCTAAAAACAACAAACAACTCAGGGAACTTCGCCAGACAACGAGCGACCGCTTTCTGCTTATTTATTTACGTAAACCTCCGTGGACCCCTTCGTTCACAGGCAGGTTTTTCTCGAAGTGAAAAGCACAGTGATTGACAGATGAGCTTGCACAAAAGTCCCGAAATCTCGCATCCACTGGGACGGATCCAAGGCTTCAAGCTTTAACTGGGGAGATCATGTAAGATATGTGAACGGAGAGAGAACGCCGCGAAAGCACAAAAGAAAGTGGAGCATGGAGGCATTGGGATCCGCGGCGGGTTTGATTTCAACCCTTTTTCGGCTCCTTGTTCCTGTGACGGGGTAGTTTCCACCCGCGTCGGACGAGAAATTATCTCGGCGGCAAGATGCGACAACACGGCTCGTGATGAAGGGGTTATCACATCATCTGTTTTCAACGCTTGTGGCTCCGGAGTCAAGCGGCTCGAAGTCACCGATGAACTAGAGAAGTAATGTCCCTGCTCGCTCACGTAGACTTCGCCGCGAACGGGATTCGAGGGAGCGCCAATTAAGGGTGGTATTCGAACCAAAGCTCTGGGGACCTTCGAACCGCGTCTAAGGTCACGACATCTACCGATGTCGCTCGAAACCTCCTCTAAGCTCTCTTGTCTGAACGCGCAAAACTTGTGCTTTCCGTAGCTGCCTGCGTCGATTGATAGAAGTCGCGGAGTTCAGAGAGGACTTGAGCCACGCCGAATCGCTCGATCGATTTCCAGGATGCAGGTGTTGATCCGCCAAGTAATATGGAGGGGTTTTCTCCGATGAGGAAAAAAGCACTGTATCACAGTTTTTGGAAGAGAACGCTTCCTTTTCTGTGAACCATTACGCCAGACAATGCTTCGGAGCGTTTCAGGAACGGCGACAGCGAGCTTTTCTCACCCGAAGAATTATCGTCAAGAACCCATGAAACAGTGCCCCGAAATACGGGGATTATTTTCCATTCTCGCATTCGCTATGCAGGAACTCAGATGGCAGCGCGTGCTCAACGAAGAAGGGAAGAACGAACCAAGCGCGGCGTACGGTCATATTTTCCCGGAGAGATTATCATCTCGGAATATTCGAGGCTCGATCGCTTGGAAAATGGGAGATCTGATGACGCGAGTAATTTCGATGCGTGATTCCGAGGCGGACTCTCCTTGGAGCGAGAGCTTCTGTTTTATTAATGAGAGTCGGCACTTCAATGAAAAGTAAAGAACAACAAATAGCCAGATAAGCGATCCCCACGCGTGATCCGGTCGAGAATGTAGCTGTGTGATGTCACTTTCAAGTATCGTTTAGCTCCGGTGCAAAATCTCATTCAGCGGCTCGGGAAAGTGATGAGACGGCCTCTGAACTAATCTGAGCTTCCCGATATCGAAGCACTGCTCTCTCTCTTACGACTCTTGCGCGTGTTCTACTTCGGCTGAAACGAGCCCTTTTCGACTGAAGAACAGCTTTCAGCGAAGGAGTCCGGTCGTTTTCTGTTCTGCGATTTCTCTACTCTTATAGTTCTAACCGTAGCGGCTTGGCGTGTGCTGGTTGTAGGAGCGATCGCTACAGTCGACCTACCGCTCGGAAGCGCTCGATTTTTAATTCCTCTCCTGATTCACATTACCGACAGGCGCCGGCAGAATCAGCCTGTTCTTGATCCGGGGACTCCGAGCGCCTACCCAGAACCAGCGGCCCCGATCTGGAAGTTTTCCGCGATTTTTTCCACCCAACTCCCGTTGTCGTTGATACGGGCTCGGGTTGGGGAAATTATCCGGACGGATCGGAAGCGCGAGAGATGATGGTCCCGAATATCTGTTCTACGCGATATTTTATGAGCTTCTTCGGTCATCGTGTACGACCACTGGAGAAATCAATGCTCGCATAATACTTGGCGTTCCCTTCAGAGTTCTCAGATATCGTTCCGGCACTGCGGGGAAGACTAAGCGACTTAGAATTTTCCAACATCTCCGGTGTCTAGACGCGCATTTTTCTTTTTTCTCCCTGATATCCGACATGCTCTACGGATCGCCGCCGCCTCATCACAGCTGGCCGGTTTCATCAGCCGTGCGCGGTCGACGCCGTTGTCGTCGGTAGCAGCGGTGTGTTCTGACTCTGTGTGGAGATGGATACAAACAATTTTTCTATTTTTTTCATTCTGTATATTTTTGTCGCCGTTCAGACAAAATTGCGATCAAAGACGTCCACAACAATGGAGCTTTTCGCGGAGGATTTTAGGGCGGGTTTTCGCGGGTCGTTTCTCCGATCGAGTCATTCAGAGGCGACAATCCGGGGGAACGATTCCGCTGATTGAATACTCAGCTCTCCCACCGCTCGAGTTCGTCATCTTCGTCTGTTTTTCCCCGATCTTTGAGCTCCTAGCTCTGAAGGATTTGGTACCGCAGCTCAATTCGGACTCGACGTCATTTTTCACGGGACGGAAGCTCGAACGAGATCTCCGAGTACCGGGGGACGGAGAACGATCGACTAGCAATCGGTGTCTTCCAGTGGAGCGAGAACGTAATCACTCGACTGTCCGTTCGAATCCAAGCGGCAGATATCGGCGGCTTAGTCTCGCCTTCTAGCCACGGTGACGATAGGAATGCCGAAGTCATTGACGGAGCCGGTCATCGTCGCCGCTGTTGTTGTTAGAAGATGAGGTAACACTCTTATTTTCGTGGCTGTCACAAGTGATGATTGAACAAGTTCGACTGACTGACTGACCGGCAGAGCGAGTGCGTGAGTGACGTTCGTCTGCGGAGGTACGAGTCGTAGTGGTCAATATTTGGAAATTACGCGCCGTGTCTCAGATATAACGCTGTCCCAGCTTCCGGTCGAGAAGTGCTCCGTAATGCGTTTTTCAAGAATTGCTCCGATACCTGCTCGGACGACGAGCATCAACTTAACGAAGTTACGTTCCCGACGGGAAATTATCGGAGCCGAGCGCTTTTCGAAAGTTCGCGAGTGAACGCCGACTCATTTTGTAGTCTTTACAGTCCGAAGCTCCGCAGCCGATGTCCGGGTTCCATCTAGCTGAGCATCGATATCTTGGCGAATGAGTTTTATCGGTGTCCGGACGTGCCGAAGAGGCGAAGTGAAGTAACCCAAAATGATGGAGAAAAATATGGGCCGCCTCGTCTTCGACTCGAGCTTTGAGATCGAATCAAAAATAACGGGACGAGGTGAACTAGCCAAGGCTCCCTTCTGTTGTTGAGGATGCGGAACCGCAAGATTGAGCCGACCGCTATGGAAGTTATGGAAATCGTTCGACAGGCATTCGTCAGTCCGGTAGGTTGACGCCGGACAGTACCGGCTGCTAAGCATATTCTTTTTGGTGACGCAGCCATATTGAAAGTCACGCGCACTGACCATTCGGATTCTCTGCATCGCCTCTCTTCGTTTCCGCACAACAAATGCACGCGGCTTTCGGCCTATGTCGTGCGAGCTGCGATGATGATGTCGATGGTGCTGTGTCGCGACGTCGACGATGGAAATCCTGCGGCGGTGAGAGCTCAAGCTCGATGTTCGAAGCCACACCTTCCATTGTGTGATCACTTGGTCTTCGGTCAATGAAGCTAGAAAAGTCCCTTTTGGAAACACAAAGATAATGCCCCGAATAAATAGACCCAGTATCCGGAAGGAAGACAAACAAACCGTAATAAAGCCCTTCAGCAAAATCAGATGGCTCCGGAATTCCCCGAGTCTCTTATCGGGAGCTTGGCTTTATGCTCTAACATGGATTTTCCTGGCGTATTCGAGCTTGTTCGGGCGAAAATGAAGGTCACGGTCGATGATCCGTTGACCTCTGTAAGGAGAAGTAGATACCCACACTGATATGGAACCTGAATCCCTGAATGACGACTCGAAGAATGGTCCGTCTTAAGATGCCTTGAATCGCAATTCAGATCATCGTGGATACGAAGAAAGGGGGAGAAAGGGCTGAATAAGTCGAGGTAGCTGTCAGGCGTTACTGCGGCCACTATTCGAATGGAAATTTCAACAAGGACGCCCGCAGCTCTCAATGAACTGGAATGCTACCTGTGGAAATCGTTATGAGAGAAGCGAAGATGGGAGGGGAGAATGACACCGAGAAACGGTCGAGCCGGCTGATGTGTGTATTCATTGTTGCATCATTCCGTTCGGTCCACTCCCTCCACCCTTGACGAAAAGACTGACCGAGTGCCCGACCGACTGCTCAAATGAGTTGCTGGCTGATAGATAGACTCAAGGACGTCAGCCCATAAGCAATCGTCCTTTTTTCTCAACGAACTCGAAACGCAAGCATTCGCTCACCATTATAATGCGAAGAGGGGACTCTCCGCGCTTGCGATTGGCCACAGCACTCTGGCGGAATCCGCCAGCCCGGGAACCATGGGTACGGCGGATGATATCGAGATCGTAAGAAACCCTCTCGTCGAGACTCTTCGGCGGCGATGTCCGGAGCCGGAATTCTGGGACCTCACTCGCGTTCTTGGGACAGAAGTTCACAATTTCATCCGTGATAAAGGGTCTTGCGTGTTTCGTGGTCCGTGGTCGATGGCTTCAGAAGCAGTCATGGACGATTTCCGAACTGAGCCAACGCGGTGATCATCGCTGCTTCAGACGAACCACTGGATAGTCGCAGGGTATCTGGAAGACAGAAGCCCGGATCTCCGAAGTTCCATGTGCGCTCTTTCGAGGAAAATCATCGTCCGAAAGATTTTGCCACCCCGATGAAGCACATTTCCCCATCTATATCTGCTGCGCTCCTGTTTTTCGATGGTGCCGTACGCATCCAGATCATTTTCACGATTTCGTGTTCTAGTCAAACACAGGTGAGAACAAGTAACGTTCGCCGCTCCGTCTGCGCGTTGGGTAATGCCCTATACGACGGGGGAAATATTCGTGCCCGAGTGTGTGAACGCACTCAGCCAGCGTTCCGCGACGGATGTTTAACAT